ATAAAATAGTTTCTATGGTTTACTATGTATTGTATTTATAAGTTATTATAAGTGGTTAACCGATGCCTATGAATGACAAACAATTTTATATTAGTTTCCATGCGATATACGATTGGCTATTATTTGCTGACTTATACTGATGTCTGTAATATAGTTATACAAATACAAAATAATAGTTAGTTTTTATTTAAAAAATATACCCGGATTCGCATTTGAAAAATTAATAGGCAATTGTTTTTTGTTATAATACACAATAAATGAATTGTGTAAAATACTACAATATTTTGTAAAAAAATACTGTATACAAAATATTACAAATCTTATACTGTAATTTAATTTACACACAAATTACACAAAACCAGTTCAGACTTTACAAACATATTAAAATAATTTAAACCAAATGTATATTTCCCATTAATGTATTGTAAATAATTAATTATAACATTACAAATCCCATAATTCTATGATCATTTCAAAACTATTCTCAACTAATACTGTGCCTAGGTAACATAGATGAACTGACAGTGTTATTTATCTAGTTTAAAAGTGTACCCAATTATTATACAAATCTTACTAGTTAATAATTATAAATGTATCAGTTATAAACCTATATGAGTTTAATAAACGAGTGGTGTCAAATCTCATATATTAATGACCAATTAAGTGAGCAGGGCAAATTCTTATTTGAAAAATATTGTATCACTCATTGCAAAAGTATACCTTAAGGTTTCGATATAATAAAATCATTCAAATGGTAATTCATATAAAATTTAATTAATCAATATTAGCAAGCAATGATTTAAATTTAATGCATGTTTTGTGAATCAAATGAAAATAAAGGGTAAAAACTTGATTCACATTAAAGTGCCACAAGTGGTCACCAAAAAGGTTTCAATTATCCGCTGAATAAGACTTTTGTGGCACTCATTGCGAGAATACCTGGCCTTTCACTCATCACTTCATTTGGTATGCATTTCGGCCTTTAATTCACATTTGATTTCACTTTTTAAACTCATTTACAAAGTCTTTGCCGAAGACTTGCCACTCGTTTGTGTCGCCACTTCTTGAGACCATTCCTCCCATACTATGAGACAATACTTTGCCATCACATGAGTCTTAAAGTCTCATCCGTTTGACAGTATCGACAGCACCGGTAGTATAGATTGCATATTACATACCATTCCTCGTAAGTCATGCCAAATGAGTGTTGAATTGGTTTTTGTTTGAATGAATGAAACGTTTGTTTGTTTTCAAAGAATACATTTTGGATTCAATTGGTGGACATCTCGTGGTATCGACAGCACCGGTAGTATTGACTACAACACCGATAGTAAGTCAACGATAAGTGAATCACTGAATCGTTTGAATCGATGAACACATCTGACACTTATGGGTAATATTTGTGACAAGGGTTTGATTAGTCATGAATTCTTTGAGAGTATACATCAGAATATTCCTAATGTCCAGTACATAGACATTAACAAAGTAAAAGTCACGTCACATGTGTTGAACTGTTTGGCAAAACTCAAGAATATTCATAGCATTAGACTCACTGGTGATGAGGAATACCTACGAATGGATGTCAAGAATGTGGTGGAAATGTGTCATAAAATTAGTTGTTTTCAAATTAATCGTAAAAAGTATCGTATTTTGTAAATATTTATCGATAATAGGATTCATTACTTTTAAATTGTTTTTCCTTTACTACTCTATAATTTTTCTAAACACCGTATGACTGATCCAATTGTGTCCTATAATTAGATCATTAATTATAACAGAAATAATATTTTTAAAAATTTATTCATTAATTGAACTCAATTTCATTGAATTGATTGTAAAATGTTTGCATTCATTAAGAAGTTGTTTAATGAATGCTATGCGCTTATAATGTCACGAATTTATGTATGGCTTAATTTGAATTTAATTTTTCCTTGTTCAATATTTAAATAAATAAATTATTAAAATAACTAAAATGTGTAGAAAATAACAATAAGTTTAATTACAATTTCATTTGTGTGTTCACTTGAAGTTAATTCACAAAAATACAGTTAACTGTAAGTAATGTGTATTCGTGTCCATAGAGTGCACTCATTCTGTGATTGCATTCAATGTGTGAACAGCTGTTCAAGAGTTTGACATTTAATTTGTAAACAAATGACAATTCAGTCAATGATTGCGTCAATTAACTCCAGTTATTGGCCTTACAATTGGGTATATAGTGAACGGTTTGCTTAGTCAACAGCACCGGTAGTCAAGAATATATTTGGCATTCAATTGGTGGACATCTCGTGGTATCGACAGCACCGGTAGTATTGACTACAACTCCGATAGTAAGTCTATTGAGTGATCGGTTTGAATGAATGACTCATTCGTTGATTTGATTATCAATTGATTCGCAGATATGTCGAGGAATAGGACAACGAGAACGCGGTTAAGAAGCGATACAACTCTGTGTCAAGTCTTCGGCGGCAAAGACTCTTTGGACCGATTCGGTGACGATTTGTGTGAAGTCTTATTGTCTTTCCTATCACTCGAAGACCGGTTCCGATGTGAATGTGTGTCCAAACAGTGGCAGAGAGTCGTATACGAGACACAAACGGATCTCATAATTAGTGGCTGCGATATAGACCCGATTCCAGCGAATATAAGTCACAAGAGGTTTGAATTGATACTCAAAAAGTGTGCAAACATTACACGCATTGAATGCACGGCTTATGGCTATGTGTTGACCGACTCTATGGTGAACTCAATTGTCAAACACTGCCGTCATTTGAATGCATTTCTGATGGACTGCTGCACGAGTGTCGACCGCAAGACTATCGACACGTTGTTCGCGAAGTTTGCAAAACAATTGAAGACAATTCGTGTCATCGATTACACCGAAAGCGAGACAATTTGGAAGTCATTTGTAAGACATGTGAAGTTTTGCGCGAATTTGCATGAATTGGATGATTACCGAAGTCGAAAGGTTAGTACGAAAGCGTTGGATCTATTGAGTGATACTTCACAGGAGTTTGTGTTACGAAAAGTGCATACATTTAGGATTAGTTTTAAAGAAGAATTAATGTATTGTTTCGAAGGATTTGTCGCAAACTATGGCCAAAGAGTGCACACAATTTGTGTCAATATCCGGGACAAGAATTTCTATGAGAAGTCTATGGATATACTGATGACTGGTTTCTCACAAATGTCACAATTAATTGATTTACAGATTAATTGTTTTGAGTATTCGTTGAATACTTTCATAACGAGTCGATTGAACCAAATTGGAGTCAACTGTCGGAAACTCAAGAGACTGGCGCTCACTGTAGACATGGATTCCGGCGCTTATGGCCTGTTATTGCAAACTATTAACAAAAACTTCAATCAATTAAAGCGATTGGAAGTAATGAACAGAAATGTCGGAACTTTTCTATTAACGAGTGAATCGCTGAACCGATGCAATCGATTAACGCATTTGACACTCATTTCCGGGTATTTCTTTTCCGGGTATTTCTATGAACGGGACTACAACTATGTGGACAATAAGTTCTTTAAGAATATCGATCAGAATATTCCTAATGTGGTATACATGCGGATCTTGACCAACAAAATCACGGCAAATGTGTTGAATAGTGTGTCGAAACTCAAGAATATTCGTTACGTCGAACTCGACGGCAATTCCACGTACAGACAAAAGGCTGTCCAGAATCTCGCGAACAAATGTCCCAAAGTTAGTTTTTGCCATAATGGGCAACAGGTTTTGTGAGTGTTTATCGAGTATTTGAGGACAATTGTACTTGTTTTTGGTTTAATACTTGAACAAAGTTTCAATTGTATTATTCTAACTATGACTATAACTTTCTAAATGCTGTTACAATTAACTATTTTGCAAAATTGCTATAAAGTCTGTATTTGTAATAAAGTTTATAACATTATTTCATTTGTGATGTTAATGTGTTTTACTTATATTACAAGCGTCTAGTTAAAAAATATTTGTTTAAAAACTTAAACCTAATTATTTTGGTAATGAATTCAAACGTATCACACATTTAACGCTGTATTTAGATGTCAATGATTTCGGGAATTATATCACATATGAGTCGACATATGAGTTAAGATTGTTTTCGACAAAACAAAAGTCAATTGCTTTGAAATATTTGTCGCAAACTATGGCCAAAAAGTGCACACAATTTGTGTCGAAATCTTATACGGGAGGTGCGATGAAAAGTCTGCGGATATACTGATGACTGGTTTGTCACAAATGTCACCATTAATTGATTTACAGATTAATTATTTTGAGTATCGGTTGAGTACTATCATAACGAGTCGATTGAACCCAATTGGCGTCAACTGTAAGAAACTCAAGAGACTGGCGCTCATCGTAGACATGGATTCTGGCGGCGATTATTGCCTATTATTGCAAACAATTAATGAAAACTTCAATCAATTAAAGCGATTGGAAGTGAAGAACATAAGTGACGGAACTTTTCAATTAACGAGTGAATCCCTAAACCTTTGCAATAGATTAACGCATTTAACACTGGGTTCCTGGTATTACACCTGTAGTTTTGTGGACAATAAGTTCTTTGAGAATATCGATCAGAATATTCCTAATGTGGTATACATGCATATAATTACCACAGAAATCACCGAAAATGTGTTGAATAGTATGTCGAAACTCAATAATATTCGCTCCGTTGAGCTCAGGGGTGATCGCACTTACAGTCAAAAGGCTGTCCACAATCTCCCAACAAATGCGAACAAATGTCCCAAAATCTCTAGACTTTGCGTTAATGGAGGTCTGGTTTTGTGAGCATCTTCGGCAATTTATACTTTTTGTGTTCAATATTTCAATCATTTTAATTACATCTCAAGTGTATGACTCTAACTTTGACTATAACTTTGTAATACTGTTTACAATTCACTATTCCGTAAAATGACTGTAAGTCTGTATTTGTAATAAAATAGCATTATCTAATTAGTAGTGTTTATGTGTTTTAGTTATACTGTATTACAATCATCTAAGTAGTAGTTATCATACATAGCGTGCAATGCCGGTGCACAACAGGACTGTATCTTAAGAAATATAAAGTGTGCAAAAGTTGTGCTCTTAATGTTATTTACAACGGGAAAGCCTAATCTATTGCTATTTATAGCCACATGTATTCATGGAATTCTATAATTCTATAAGAATTTCACAATTATTCTCAAATGATACATTCCCTAGGTAAAAGGGTGAACTGAC